AAGAGTAAAATGAGAACCTACAGACTGGGAAAAAATTTGGGGCTACAACATAGCCAACAAGGGTCTAATCTTTAAAATCTGTAGAATACTTCATCTCAACAACAAAAAGGCAAACTACCCAATTAAAAAATGGGCAAAGGACATAAACAGACACTTCACCAAAGAAGACATTCAGAGGGCTAACAAACACATGAAGAAATTTGCATTCATTAGCAATTAGAGAGACGCAAATCTAAACTACAATGAGATACCATTTCACCCCAACATTACCGGCATGAGTGAAAAAAAAAATAACAATTACTGACGAGGTTCTGAGGAGATTGTAACTCTTACCCACTGCTGGTAGGGATGCAAAATGGTACCACTATGGAAAACAGTATGGTGCTTCCTTAAAAAGCTAGAAATAGAAATACTATATGATCCAGCAATCCTACTCTAGGTATATACCCTGAAGAAAAAAGAGCCGTAGCATGAATAGACCTGTGCACACCCATGTTTGTTGCAACATTATTTACAGTAGTAAAAAGATGGAAACAACCTAAGTGCCCATCAACAGATGGATAAATAACCTGTGGTACATAACACATGATGGAATACTACACAGCAATAAAGAATAATGATGAATCTGTGAAACATCTCATAACATGGATGAATTTGGAGGACATTATGCTAAGTGAAATAAGTCAATCACAAAAGGACAAATATTTAAAAAAGAAGGTTCTGATTTAAAAAAAAAAGACAAATATTGTATGAGACTACTATTATAAACAAACAAAAAAGGTTTACACACAGGAAAAAAAATTCTTTGATGGTTACCAGGGATGGGAGGGGAGAGGGAGGTAAGATTACTAACTAGGTCAAGGGCACGTGTTAATATTGGTGAAGGGAAGGGCAGTGCACAATATGAGGGAAGTCAGCACAGCATGACCAAGGCAAAGGAAGACACTGAGAGGAATGCAAGAATACACGGCAACTATGGTAATTATTGGGGCCCTGGTGGTCCAGTGGTTAAGAACTCAGGCTGCTAACCAAATGGTTCGCATTTCAAATCCACCAGCCACTCCTTGCAAACCCTAGGGGGGAAGTTATACTCTGTCCTGTAGGTTTGCTATGAATCAGAATCGACTTGACAGCAATGGGTTTGTTTGGTTTTGGTTTATGGTAATTACCACAACATAGGCAATCTTGCAGCAATAGTATTAACAAACAGTAATTTACAAATGGCTACATAGGTAGATAGCTATGCTAAAGAAGTGTGGGAAGGTGTAAGGGGGCACACCCACCTTCAGATATAGGTTTGGTTGTGAATATTTATACATACATTAACTGTAGGTGCTGCATGTGTATCAATGTAGACGATAGAGCACACAAGAGGCTTAGTTATGGAAACAGACGTAACCGAACACCTCACAGGATGAAGTTCCTAGACTCAAAGGCAAAGGACCATAGACTCAAGAGACACCTACGTCAGTTGGCACAACATAGTTCATAACAACAGTGTTCTGCCTCCTACTTTGGTGAGTAGCATCTGGAGTCTTAAAAGCTTGCAAGCAGCCATCTAAGATACAACTATTGATGTCTTCCCATCTGGAGCAAAGGAGTGTGAAGAAAACAAAAGACTCAAGGGAACAGTTAGTCCAAAGGACTAACAAACCACGTAAACCATAGCCTCCTCTAGCCTGAGACCAGAAGAACTAGATGGTGCCCGGCTACCACTGCCAGCCACTCTAAGATCACAACAGAGGATGCCAGACAGAGTGGCAAAAAATGTGGAACAAAAAATCAAATTCACAAAAAAGACTAGACTTACTGGTCTGACAGAGACTAGAGGAAACCCCAAGACTATGGCCCTAAGACACCCTTCTGACCTGGAACTGAAGCCATTCCCAGAGACCACCTTTCAACCAAACAATAGACAGGCCCATAAAATAAACAGTAACACCCAAGAAGAACGTATTCCTTAGAACAATCAATTTTACGAGATCAAAAGGACAACATTTGCCCAAAAGCAAAGATGAGAAGGCAGGAAGGGGTAGAAAAAACAGACAAAAGGAAACGGGGTGCCCAGGGCAGAAATGGGGAAAGTGCTGACGCATTGTGGGGATTGCAGCCAATGTCATGGAACACTTCATGTACAAACTATCAAATGGGGAACTAATTTGCGCTGTAAACTTTCACCTAAAGCACAATTTAAAAAAATTTAAAAATAAATAAAGAAATTTATTCTGTAAAAACTAAATTTGCCATAGCCTGATTAGGTATCACTGTGGTAATCCAACGTAATTAAATATGCTTTGAGTCATTACTTTTAAGGAAACATATTTCAGAAGTCAGATGCCAGCCTGTTTGCATACTGTTGCATGAATTAGTCAATTAATTTGGCTACCCAGATGTTAATGAGGTGTCTTGCTCTATACTGAATGGAGATCATTTCCGAGCTTTTTTCTATATGTAGACAAATTCAGATGGAAAACGTCTCTTATTCTGAAGCTATGCCTCCAAATGGTTTAGAGAAATAAATAGTATGGTTCAGGATAAGTGGTTCTTTCCCCCAGCATATTTTTAATGCTTTTGTCTTAAACTTTTCTCTTTCACTAACCTACAGTGTTGCATCTTGGGGATATGTAATGCATAGAACAACCTGCCAAATGGAATTGGTCCCCTCTGAAGAAGAGCGACATAATTTCTGTTACCAAAAGCCACAATCCTTTCAGTGGACTTTAAGTCTTAGACTAGGATGGTTTGCACTTTTTTATTATTATTTTTATGTCATTTGTTTTTAGCATGGAAGCAGAAAAGCATTGTTATATCCAGTCATATGGATAATTTGAGCTAGCCACAGTATATAAAACTCCAGAGAACAAGACAGGATGAGGAGACCATAGAAGAAAGAAAAATGTACATTTCTGGAAAAAAAAAAAAAAAAAAAAAGCATATCTTTTACTTCTGTTCATGAATTACTAAATCGTTCCTTCTATTGGCTGCTGTGTTTGCTTCATACTAATATGTCCTCTCTGTCTTTTGGCATGGTTTCTACTCAAGGCTATTGTAAGTATGGCTTCCTATTCATTTCTATATATTGAGCACCCTTTTGTTCAATTTTTTGATTTATGCATTATCCGCCATCTTAGGTGATGGTATTGAGATTTTAAATTAAGGCAATTTTATGTAAAAGGAATCTACCAGTATTACTTGCCCTTTAGGCTTATGAGCTTTACAGTTAACATACTTAAAGGACATTAAAAACTTAAAAATGATGGTCAAACCAAAGAGAAGTCTGCTCTTCGTTTTTTCTCCCATCTCACTCCTGCTCAACCCCATTATTATGGTTAGTTCATTTTTATAAATTATTTTGACTCAGTTCTCAGTCTGGCCTCATCCTGCCACGTATTTTGATAGTGACAGTCTTGAGTTGGAGAGGCATTGCAGCATAAAAAGCATGAAGTGAAGATCATGCATGGACTTTGTGGTCCAGTAGACCTGGGTTTTACTTTTTGGATCTGCCACTTGAAAGCTACTGAATGTCTCCTCAGCCTCACCTTCCTCAACTGTAGTAGTACTCACAGTGAGTAATACTACTCACAGTGTTGTGTGAGGTGTACATGAGACATTGTATATGAAATGCTTTAGTGCAGTGCCTGGCGTATTAACCACTCATTAAATAATTATTTTATTATGTATTAGTAGCCTAATCACAACATAAGTAGAAAACCAAAGATAATGGGTTTTTTATTATTTACATTTTACCCTCCATAGTAAAGAAGGAACAAGCAAAAATTCAAAGTTAATAGGGTTATTGTCTTTTTATATTTGGCAGAAGCAATGATAGAGGACGCTGTGGTTCACTGATCGAGTAATAGTTAGCAACTGACCAAAGAAGTGAATTTGAAATATTCCAGAGCTGTATTAGAATGGACTTAATAAGCAGTTATGGTAGTCATTATTGAATAAGATAACTGAAAATCAAAAAACTTCGTATGAGGCTTTCCTTCCCCCACCCCATCACTGCTATTGATTGATTGGACTATTTGTTTTATAAGCCTATGTTAATTGGGTTTTGATTCAATTAGTTAATAACCATTTATCTCAATATTAAATGTTTATGCAGAGAATTCATTTATAATATATACACTGTTGTTGTCGTGGGCCATCGAGTTGATTCCAATTTATAACGACCTCATGTAACAAAGTAGAACTGTCCCATAGGGTTTCCTAGGCTGTAATTTTTACGGGAGCAGATCTCCAGGTCTTTTCTCCCAAGGAGCAGCTGGTAGGTTTGAACCGCCGACTTTTCAGTTAGCAGCCGAACACTTAACCATTGCACCACCAGGGCTACAGGTGTTAAATTAAAGTGTGAAACCGAATGGTTACTATACAGAATGCTTTTTATTCTTTATTTTTAGGCCATTTCTGATCATCTGCTTTTCAAGAATGCTCCCCTTGAAAAAAAAAATCCAGCTAATACTGTATTATCCAGCATATTGAAATTTGAGCGTATGCCATTCACATTCTGGTATCATCACAAAAAATATTTGCAACCTGTGAATATCCATAAATTACTAATTAAGTCAGTAAACATTTATGGAAGTTTATCCCAGATTTTACCAAGCTGCAAGGAAGACAACATAATAGATGAAAAGGGTCTTAGGGAAAGTCTGTTATTATAGTCCTACCTGCCTGTTGAGTCCAGGATTAGGTCTGTACTCAAGTGGCTTTTTAATTCATTTCCATGACTACAAGAATCCAGAGAGAGAATCCAGATATCTAATTTCTGAGTATTTTATACTGATTGCTATCACTCATGGGCTGATAGCATGAGTGATCAAAGAGAATTAAACTTATCAAAGAGAATTAAACATATTGTATGTTTTGAGTTCTTTGACCAGAGAAATTACTGAGAGTTCACTGAGAGTAAGGTACTACTGTATTCTTTTTTTTTTAAATAAATAATTCATTAGTTAAAATATTAAGTAGTAAACTTTTCTATTTTCCATTTTCAGTCCGTTCTTCTAAAAAAGAAGCTTGAAGAACATCTGTAAGTGTAAAAGATATTGTGGCTTATTCTTATGTTATCTAGTGGAACATAGTGCTTTATATTATGTGCTTACAGAGTGTCTCAGCAATTGGCATGGGTGACACTTGAATATATAAAAATTGTAAGGTGTATTTCAAGAACATCTATTTTAGGTTTCTAAAAGTAATTAAATTGTATTTAATAGTGTCTGAAGGGTCATTTTCATCCAAGATCTTCAAATCAAAACAAATGACCACCTTAGGATTGTTTTCTCAAATAATACTCAAGAGTTTTATATCTTAATTAATAGCATTGATAACAATAGAGTTTGAAACATTCTAAATCAGAGATCAGCCAGTTTTTTCTGTAAAGAGCCAGATAGTAATTATTTAGGCTTTGCAAGCCATGGTCTCAGTCACAACCACTCAACTGCAGTTGTAGCTTGAAAGCAGCCATAAATAATACATAACTAATGAGTATGACTATGTTCCAAAAAACTTTATTTACAAAAACAGGCAGCAGACTGGATTTGGCCCACAAGCTATAGTTTGCCGACCCTGCTCTAGAATTTGGCCAGTTGAATCTTCCTCTTTAGATAAAATGTTTAGTATTGTAAAGGTTGGCAACAGTAGATTTTCAAACATTTCCTCAAATTACAGAAATCTCTGAGCAGGAATTCTTATCTAAGTAAATTTAAAATATTAAAGTTGTTTTCTCATAAAGAAGAAATCTTCATCTTTATCTGAGGCTGACAATGTTCAGAAGCTTTCATAATTTTTCTTGCACTCAGCAACAGCCTAAATCCCTCCTATTGCTCTCCAACAACCCTTCTTGCAAACACTGACTGTCAGATAGCTGGAAATTGGTAGCCTGTTGCAGTGTTACAGTGTTACACTCCGCTAAACCAGACATCCACAGAGATAATTTTGATTTGTCTTACCTGTTGTCTGGCAGTTTGCCTCATGCTATCTTTTTTTTTTTTTTTGATATGTAAGAAGTGAAATACTCTTAGCAACTGAGATTTGCTGGTACAGCCTAACAATGGCCAATATTCGTAATGTACTAGAAGAATAGAAAATGTTACCTCCCAGTCTGTGAGGTTATCTAAAATGAAAATTTAATATTTAATTCTGCCTTTCTTTCATTTCCCATTCTTTCATTGCCAAAAAAAAAAAAAAAAAGTAGAATAGCTGTTGTGTCATAAAACCACTCTCTGACCATTGTTGTATTCAGTTATTTACATGGTAAAAATCATCAGAAAGCATTTATTAGTGAGAATGGGGCCTGTATTAGTTTCCTAAGGCTGCTGGAACAAATTACCATAAACTGAGTGGCCTAAGACAACAGCGATTTATTTTCTCACAGTTCTGTAGGCTAGAAGTCCAAAATCAAGGTATAGGCAAGATTATTTTCTTCTGGAGGCTCTGAGGGAGGATCTGTCCCAAAACTCTCCTAGCTCCTGGTGGTTGTCACAATCCTTAGCATTCCTTGGCTTGTAGATGCATCACTCCAGTCTGTCTCCATCTTTACATGGTGTCATGGATTGAATTGTGTCCCCCAAAAATATCTGTCAACTTGACTGGGTCATGATTCCCAGTATTGTATGATTGTGTACCATTTTGTAATCTGATGTGATTTCCTTATGTGTTGTAAACTCTATCACTATGATGTAATAAGATGGATTCGTGGCAGTTATATTGATGAGATCTACAAGATTAGGTGGTGTCTTAAGCCAGTCGCTTTTGAGATATAAAAGAGAGAAGCGAGCAGAGAGACATGAGGACCTCATACCACCAAGAAACCAGTGCCAGGAGCAGAGTGCATCCTTTGGACCTGAGGTTCCTGTGCTGAGATGCTCCCAGACCAAGGGAAGACTGATGCATCACAAGGACCTTTCTCCAGAGCTGACAGAGAGACAAAGCCTTCCTCTGGAGTTGATGCCTTGAATTTAGACTTGTAGCCTACTAGACTGTGAGAGAATAAATTTCTCTTTGTTAAAAGCCATCCACTTGTGGTATTTCTGTTAGAGCAGCACTAGATGACTAAGACACCTGGCATTCTTTCAGTACATCTCTGTGCCTTCACATGGCCTTCTTGTAAAGACACCAGTCACTGGATTTAGGGCCCACCCCAATTCAGTCTGACCTCTTCTTAAATTAAATACATCTACAAAGACCCTATTTCCAAATAAGGTCATATTCAGAGGTGCAGGAGGTTAGGACTTCAATATATCTTTTGGGGGGACACAGTTCAACTTACAACAGAACCCATAGATATCTCAAAAGATTTTAATTGCATGCAAATTTAAAACTACTGTGAGACCATTTTATGCACACCAAATTGATAAAAATTTAAAAATCAGACCTACAAAATATTGCCAAAGATGATGAGCAACACTAACTCATCCGCTGCTGGTCAGATTATGCACCATTTTGTATTTACACATATTCTGTGACCCAGCAGTTCCACTCCCATGTGTGTATGCACACGTGCACGTGTATACCCTAGATTCCTAGAGATACTGTTATCCATGTGTACCAGGAGACGTATAGAAGAAGGTATGGAACAGCATTGTTTGTAATCACAGAAAAATGGAAACAGTACAAGTGCTCATCAATAGTAAAATGATAGAATGGGGTATATTCAAACAACAGAACACAATACAGCATGTCTTAGTTATCTAGTGCTGCTATAATAGAAATACCACAAGTGGATGACTTTACCAAGCAGAAATTTATTCTCTCACAGTTTAGGAGGCTACAAGTTCAAATTTAGGGCGCCAACTCCAAGGGAAGGCTTTCTCTGTCTGTTGACTCTGGGGGAAGGCCCTTGTCTCCTTTCAGTATCTGTGGGCCCATCGTTCCTTGGAGTTCTTTATGTGTCTTGGAATGAGTCTTCCCCTTGGTCTACCAGGTTCTCAGCTCAGGGACCTGCGTGCTTTTCTCCCGGCTCTTCTTTCTTAGGGGTAGTGAGGTCCCTCTCCTTTCTGCTTGCTTCTCTCTCCTTTTATCTTTTGTAAGATAAAAAGGTATGACTCAAGCAAGGGTGTGAGTTGAATAAAAGATGTGACTTGAGTAAGCCCATGACTTGAATCATGTCCATTAATAAGTCACACCCCACAGTAATCCTGCAGAGTTTTAGGATTTACAACACATAAAATGGAGGATAATTACATACATCAGATCATAAAATGGAAGACAATTACACGGTAGTGGGAATCGTGGCCTAGCCAAGTTGACATATATTTTGGGGGGACACAGTTCAATCCATGACATTCCACCTTTTGGCACTCAAATTCATGTACTTGCCACATATAAAACACATTTACCCCATTGTATCGTCCCAAAAGTCTTAAATCAGCTCCAAGTCCAAAATCTCATCTTCTGAATCATCTAATCAAATATGGGTGAGACTTTAGGCGTATTCCATCCTGGAACAAAATTCCTCTTCATCTTTGAAGCTGTGAAACCTAGAATACAAGTTATCTGTTTCAAATGTACAATGGTAAAAGAGGCACAAGGTAGACATTTCCATTACAAATGGGAGAAATTGGAGGGAAAGAAAGGATAACAGGTACCAAACAAGTCCAAAACCCAGGAGAACAAATTACATTAGCTCTCAAAGCTTGGAAATAATCCTCTCTTCTCTGAGACCATCTAAGTGATGGTCTTACCCTCCAAACTCTGGGTGTTGGCCATGCTTTCTGGTTGTTGGGTGGAGGCCTTTCAGCCCTGGGCTTCAGCTCCGCTGTCCAGGCCCACTGGGATGGCAACTTTGCTCCCTCAGCTTCGGCCAGCCCCATTCTCCTAGTCCATCTAAGTGGCGACCCTATCCCCTCAGCCCCGGCAGGCCCCGTTCTTCTGCCCCTTGGGCATGGCAGCTTCACTCCCTCAGTTTGGGTGGCTGCCCCATCACTCTGGCACACCTTAACGGCAGCCGCACACTCCAGAATTGAGTTGGCAAAGATCCGACTCTTTGAAACCTAGGCTATGGCCCCACCCTTTGAAACCCCAGAAGACTTGGCCCCACCCTTTAATACCAAGGCAGTTTTGCTTCCTGTGCTCCTTCCAACAGTTGTAGCTGATCACTGAGGTGCTCCAGAGATGGCTCTTTTCTTTTCTTGGAGGACAATAGATGTAGCTCCTTTGGCCTGTTTCCTTTGGCCTGTAGAATTCCAAGAGACAGCGTTCTTTCCTTCCACTCTTTCTCTGTCCTCTTCAGTCTAAGTTGATGGGTTTTCTGCTGTGGTAGTTGGTTAAATCCACCAGTCACAGGCTTAATCTCTTTAACAAAAGATTGTGTAGCCATGTACTTAGTGAACTTTCTAAGACACATGTCCTTAATATGTACAACAGAATTTTCCAAATCTTTTTAAGTTGTGTTTTCATTTTGCACAATTCATTTTTCAATCCGTCTCTTTTCTGTGACATTTTACTATAAGCAACAAGGAGAAACCATGCGGCCCCTTTAAGATCTTGCTTAGAAATCTCATCAACCAGCTATCCAAGTTCATCACTTACAAGTTCTATTCCACCAAACATTTGACCATAATTCAGACAAGTTCTTTGCCACTGCATGAAAAGCATCACCCTTCCTCCATTGTCTAATCATGTGTTCATTATTTTCTTTTAAAGCCTTACCAGAAGCACATTTGATGTCCACATTTCTAGCAACATTCTGTTTCTGGCACCATATGTATTCTCTAAAATGATAGAGACTTTCTCTGTAGTTCTTCTCGCTTCCTTCCAAGCCCTCATCAGGATCACCTTTGGCATCCATAATTCTACCAACAGTCTCTTCAAGGCAATCTAGGCTTTTACTATTAGACATCTTTAAGCTCTTCCAGCCTCCACCCATTACCCATTTCCAAAACCACTTCCACGTTTTAGGTATCTGTTATACCAGCACCCCACTCTTCCAGTACCAAATTCTGTCTTAGTTATCTAGTGCTGCTATAACAGAAATACAAATGGATGTCTTTAACAAACACAGATTTATTCTTTCACAGTTGAGGAGGCTAGAAGTCCGAATTCAGGGTGCCAGTTCTAGGGGAAGGCTTTATCTCTGTGTCAGCTCTGGGGGAAGGTGCTTGTCTCCTTTCAACATGTATGGGCCCGGCGTTCCTTGGAGATCTCCATGTGTCTTGACATCAGTCTTCCTGTGTCTAGGAGGTTCTCAGCACAGAGACCCTGGGTCCAAAGGACATGCTTTTCTCCTGGCTCTTCTTTCTTGGTAGTAGTGAACTCCCTCTCCTCTCTGCTAGCTTCTCTCTCCTTTTATTTTTTGTAAGATAAAAGGAATGACTTGAGTAAGGGTGTGACTCCAGATACACCCCACACTAATCCTGCAGAGGTTTAGGATTTACAACACATAAAATGGAGGATAATTACACACAGCAGATCACGAAATGGAGGACAGTTACACGGTACTGGGAATCATGTCCTAGCTAAGTTGATTTTTTTTTTTAATTGTGCTTTAAGTGAAAATTTACAATTCAAGTTGGTTTCTCATACAAAAATTTATACACACATTGTTATGTGACCCCAGTTGTTCTCCCTATACTATGACATCACACTCCTCCTTTCTACCTCAGATTTTCCGTGTCCATTCAGTCAGCTCCTGTCCCTTTCTGCCTTCTCATGTTGCCTCTGGACAGGAGCTGTCCATTTAGTCTCTTGTATCTACTTGAGCTAAGAGGCACACTCACTCTTCATGAGTATCATTTTATGTCTTATAGTTCAGTTTAATCTTTGAAGAGTTGGCCTTGGGAATGGTTTTAGTTTTGGGCTAACACAGAGTCCAGGGACCATGTCTTCCGGGTCCATCCAGTCTCAGTCAGATGATTAAGTCTGGTCTTTTTACTAGAATTTGAGTTCTGCACCCCACTTTTCCCCTACTCCATCAGGGACTGTTTGTTGTGTTCCCTGTTAGGGTGGTCATTGGTGGTAGCCAGGCACCATCTATCTAGTCCTTCTGGTCTCAGGCTGATGGAGTCTCTGGTTTATGTGGCCCTTTCTGTCTCTTGGGATAATATTTTCCTTGTGTCTTTGGTGTTCTTCATTCTCCTTTGCTCTAGGTAGGTTGGGACCAATTGATGCATCTTAGATGGCTGCTCGCTAGGTTTTAAGACCCGAGATACCACTCACCAAAGTGGGATGCAGAACATTTTCATAATGAACTTTGTTATGCCAATTGACCTGATGTCCCCTGAAACTATGGTCCCCAGACCCCCACCCCTGCTACTCTGTCCCTCAAAGTGTTTGGTTGTATTCAGGAAACTTCCTAGCTTTTGGTTTAGTCCAGTTGTGCTGACTTCCCCTGTATTGTGTGTTGTCCTTCGCTTCACCTAAGATAATTCTTGTCTACTATCTAGTTAATGAATACCCCTCTCCCTCCTTCCCCACCCTCGTAACCAACTAGGTGGATATATATTTTTTTGGGGAAACAGTTCAATCCATGACAAGCAGTAAAAATGTGTTAACTAGGACTAACACATCAACATAGTTGAATCTCAAGAGCATAATGTTGAGTAAAAGATGCAAGTCACAGAACAATACATACATAATGACACACTAAATACTGTGTAGGGAGAATGACACATATTACACAAATACTAGCAAGAGATTTGCTTTCTGTTCATTCTTTTACTTTTGTATTAGAATATAACTTACATACAGCAAAGTACACAAATTCGAAGTTCCTAAGTATACAATTTGATAAATGTTTACCTACATACATAGGTAACTCAGATCAAGATACAGAATTCCCGCAACCCTGCAGAATTCTTCATTCTCCCTCCCAAACTCTTCCACTATGCTGATATTTATCATCTTTCATTAGTTTTGCCACTTTTTGAACTTCATATAAATGGAATCACATAGTAATACCCTTTTGTGTCTGACTTCTTTTGTTCAGAATCATTCTGTGAGATCCTTCCATGTGGTTGCATGTATCATTAGTTTCTTTTTTATTGGTATGTACTATTTTGTTGTTGTTCCTATTTTTTAGAACTTCAACTTTTTTTTGCAACAAGATTTTGCATTGTAAAACCTCTACAAAATTTTCAATTTAATTTTTACAATGTCTTTATTCCAAAATAAGTAAATAAATAAAGATCATTAAGGCCTCTGTAACATCTTGTACAGATTACTGTAAAAGAAATGATTAGTGTTTTAAATGTAGATCTTTGTATCTGTTTTTAATTTATTTGGAAGATATATTACATTCATGTTGCTTTAGTCTTTTCATCTTTCTTTCATAGCACATATGTGCTGTGCCAGTGTATTTCCAAGAGTAAAGAATTAGATCTTTGCTTGAAGCGGGAAAAAATAAAGAAGCAGTGCTAGGTGACGCAGTGTTATGTATTTTGCAACAGAGAGAAGCTGCATGAAGCAAATAATGAGTTACAGAAGAAGAGAGCCATTATTGAAGATCTGGAACCAAGATTTAACAACAGCTGTGAGTTTTTCCTCATTAGCAGAGTTTTAAGTTGGGTTAGCCATTTACTACCCTAATGGTAGTGAGTTTAGGTAAAGTTGTTTGTTTGAGAATTGAGTCCTATTACATGTTCTAGCAATTAAAGAATTTGCATTATTTACAGAAAGAGTATGCAGTCATCTTTCTAATAGTCCTTAAATTTCTAATTATAGTTGTGAATTTTTCCTTAACTCTGGAAGCTAATGAATATTTTATGAAATGGGATATTTTCAGAGTGTGGTTGCATATAAGGCAGTCAAACCTTTACTTCCATTGCTATTTACACTTGTAGGTACCTTGATTTTATTAGTTCTTTTGTGTTGAGGTGGAGCAGGACAGACTTTTACTTTTTAATAGATACACTTTCATACTGGAGTTTTTATTTATAAGAAAAGCTTTTTGTAAAAAAAAATTATAAGTTGGCTTTTAGAGAGAGAAAATTATATAAAGGAATAGATCAATCGCCCAAAACTGTAACCTATTTATTATTATCTTTGTCAGTTGAAATATTTTTAAGGATATTACAATCTATTAAAAAAAAAAACTTTTTTTTACTGTATCTCATCTACAGCATTAAAAATTGAAGAATTACAAGAAGCTTTACGGAAGAAAGAGGAGGAAATGAAGCAAATGGAAGAACGATATAAAAAATACTTAGAGAAAGCCAAAAGTGTAAGTATAAATTTGTGGGCATCTCACTGTACTTTCTGAGCATGTTTCACTGAAGCCTTGAAATACAGTGCACGTATAGTGACTTCTCATGCAGAGAGTGATCAGGAGAAGAACAAAAGAAAACAAAGAAAAAGAGTCTGAACAAGAAGCAGTGATCTAAGTAGGTTACCCTACAGGTTACTTACTAAATTATCAAGAAGAAAATGCACCTTTTACAAAAGAAATAACTGGGAGTCAGCGCCATAACCAGTAATCAAAATTAGCGACACTAATGGTGGGACAACCAACATCTTGTGCTTCTGATATCAAGTATCATTGCCAATAATAAACCAAACCAAACCCTTTACCGTCGAGCTGATTCTGACTCATAGTGACCCTATAGGACAGAGTAGAACTTCCCCATAGAGTTCCCAAGGAGCGGCTGCTGGATTTGAACTGCTGACCTTTTGGTTAACAGCCGAGCTCTTAACCACTGTGCCACCAGGGCTCCTTGCCGATAATATTTACCCTGAATCTGATCAGTCTTCTCGATCTCACTTCTAGTTCACAGAATAAATCAGATTATTGGAACAAGTTAAATAACACCTTGAGGAAAGTATCAGTTAAATCTAGAATTTGGGATAAAAAGTCAATGTCGTGATGCAAAAAACAGGATGGAGTCTGACCTCCTCACTCTTCACAAGGGGAAAGGAAAATCAAGATCAACAGCCCAAGGCTGATTCCTATGAGTTGGAGGTCAGACATGCCTCCTGTCTTCACCATCTTTACCAATTCTGATACCAACCGTCCCTTCCACAGCACTCTCTAATTCTCTGCTGGGTTCAATAATTCATTGCAATGGCCACACAGAACTCACACACAATACTCACGATTATGGGGTTTATTAGGGAAGTAACAGATTACAGTGCAGGTTCAGGAGCACTCAGCATACAGTTCTTCCATCAGGACAGCCTCTTCCCAGCCGTGTTCACAGGCATGCCTCTCTGGCCCTCAGCCTCTGCCTTGCTCAGGCAAGCATTAAAAGCTCTTTTAGTCCCTGCCAGTAAGTCCCCAGAGGTACCCCAGGCACTCAGCTTTCTTGCTCCATGGGCCAGGAAGCCCACTGTGCTGTCCCCTGCCAGTCTCTCCTGCCACCTGTCTCTCTCTCTGTCTCTCGGTCTTCTCATGCCAGGAGCTTCTCAGTGCAGGGATCCTGGATCCAAAGGATGTTCTCTCTGCTTCTGGTTTTTCTTCCTTGGTAGTGGTGGGATCCTCTCTTTGCACTGGAATTGGCTCTTTTTTAAGCCAAAACTGACGAATCCCCTTGGTGGGCCACAGTTGCCTTATTTGCACAGTCCCACCCAATCACTTGGGTGAGAGTTACAAGACTACAAGACCATGGCTAGAAAGGCCACACAAAATTGATCCATCACACCATACATGAGAAACAAAAATAAGCAGGGCTGGTGGTGGCAGATGGAGGGGGGTGCTGGTCTAATTTAAAAGAGCCCAAAGGGACCTAACTGCCAAATACAATGCAATGACCTTTGGATACCAGATTGGAGCAGAGAGCTATAAAAGCCATTTTGAACATAGTTGTGGAAATGTGAATTTGAACCAAATAATGATGATTTTATACAATTGTTCATTTTCTTATAGATAATAATGTTATTTTGATTAGTTAGGAGATTGTGTTTATTCTAAGGAGATGCATGCAGAAGTATTTAAGGGTTCAGTATCAAGAGGTCTGCACATTACTTTAAAATAGTCCCAAAAATGAAAGTGTATGTGTATGTGCGTGTCTGTAGAGAAAGAGAAATGTGGCAATTGGTGAATCTGGGTTAAAGGTAAACAGGTTTTGTCTACTCTTTCAACTTTTCTATAGGCTTAAACATTTTGATAGTAAAAGTGTTGAGGGAAAAAACTTTCTCAAAAGACCTCTAGTTGATCAGCCAGAATTGCATCCAATGTCCATGCCTAGATCAAACCACTGGCAGAAGAGGAGATGGGGCCACAATGATAGGCATAACCAAGTCAAAAACCACTTCCTGAAGTACACGTCTATTCAGAGGCAGACGACTAGCTGAACCAAATTTAGGATTCTGTTAATGAGGAAGGGAAAAAGGGTAAACAGCTGTCAGTAGTGTCTGTTGTAGTATTATTTATTAATTTAAACTCATAATTACTTATTATAATTGATTCTATTTCAAAATTAAAAAGTTACATCAACAGAATATTATTTCTTATGTTCAAATTTTAAAGTTTCCTTGTAAAATAGCCTTTGATTCTCATAAGGTTTATCTTTGATTTTTTTTTTAATAACTACTTCTATGGATGTTACAGTATTCTTTAATTTCAAGACTTTTTTCATTTATTACTTTTTGCAGGTTATCCGTACTTTAGATCCTAAACAGAATCAAGGAGCAGCACCAGAAATACAAGCTCTTAAAAATCAACTCCAGGAGCGGGACCGACTGTTCCATTCATTAGAGGTAGTTGACTACACTATACAATAAATCATTTTTTTGATTCTTTGTTTTATAAGAACTTTTCTATATTGCACAATCCTATCCATGCATTTAAGCAGTGAATTGTAAGTATTTTACAAATATCTAGTTATTTTATATCTTTACATGTGCTTGTTTTTTAGAAAGAATATGAGAAAACGAAGAGTCAAAGAGAGATGGAGGAGAAATATATTGTTAGTGCCTGGTACAATATGGTAAGAAAACAGCACTGCAAAACAGATTGCAAAATTTGATGACTATGTAATGTTTATTATGTTCCCCTTATTGTGGAAATAATTCTACCAAATGAATCTGAAAGTAATTGCTGTCCTAACACACACTAACCAAACCTTAATCCTTACCTTAGGGCTAAAAGCAGATAAGAGAACGACCATAACCAGGATTAGAGCATTTTGAACACATCATTATTTTTAGAGTTTGACTTGTTGAAAAATAAATGTTAGTTTGATTTCTGCCTCTCAGAGCCATTTATCCCATGGGAAAGAGACTTATATCTAAACACAGATGTGGTGGCTTTTGTTTTGTGGGACTATTTCAGTATCCTTTGCAGGAGTGGTACTTACACTGAGGATAGCTTAACCATTTCTCAGGGTTTGGAAAATGTTCACATTGTCAGACTCTGAACCCCTAAAGGTTTTGAAATTAAATATTCCAACAGACAAAACTTTAAATACATTGCAGGGAAAAACAAATGCTTACCAATATTCTAGGCTTCATTTAGATTTTCCAGATATGAATAACAAGATTTTGAAGGATGCAGGGGTAGTGATTTCCACTACATCCCCATTCAACTCGCCTGTTTGACCTGTTCAAAAAACAGATGGATCTTGGAGAGTAACAGTGGATTATCAAGAACTTAATGAGGTGGGACTCCAACTGCAGCTGCTGTTGCAGATGTGTTTTCATTGCTTGAGCAAATTAATACATCTTCTGGTACCCTGCTATGCAGCTGTTGATCTGAACAATGCTTTTTTCTCTATTCTGGTTTCGAAGGAACATCGGAAGCAATTTGTCTTCAGCTGGCAAGGCCAGCAGTACACCTTCACTGTCTTACCTCAGAAGTATATCTACTCTCCAGCCCTGTGTAATAATTTAGTCTGCAGGGACCTTGATCACATTTCCCTTCCACAAGACATCACACTGCTTCTTTACATTCATGACATTATGCTGCTTGGACCTAGTAAGGAAGACATGTCAATGACTCTGGACTTATTGGATATTTGCATGCTACAGGGTACGAAATTAATCCTACAAAACTTCAGGCACCTTCCACCTCAGTGAAGTTTCTAGGCGTCCAGTGATATGGGACATGATGAGATATTCCTTCTAAAGTGAAGGATAAGTTGTTATATCTGGCCCCGCCTACAACTAAAAACAGGCACAATGCCTGGTAGGCCTCTTTGGATTTTGGAGGCAACATATCCCTCATTTGGGTGTGCTACTCAGGCCTATTAACTGACTTGAAAAGCTGCTAATTTTGAGGGGGGCCCAGAACAAGAGAAAGGTCTGCAACAGGTTCACGCTGCTATGCAATCCACTCTGCCATTTGGGCCACATGATCCAGCTGATTCAGTGATGCTTTAAGTGTCAGTGGCAGATAGAGATGCTGTTTGGAGTCTTTGGCAGGCCCATATTGGTGAATCACAGCACAGACCCTAAGGATTTTGGAGCAAAGCCCTGGCATCATCTGTAGATAACTACTCTCCTTTTAAGAAACAGCTTTTGACTTGTTACTAGTTCTTAGTAGAGACTGAACGCCTAACCATGAAACACCAAGTCACCATGCAGCCTGAGCTGCCCATCACGAACTGAATGTTGTCTGACCCACAAAGTCAGACATGCACAGTAGCACTCCATAATCAAATGGAAGTGGTATATACGAGATTGGGTGTGAGCAGGACCTGAGGGTACAAGTAAGTTGCATGAGGAAGTGGTTCAGATGCTCATGGTTTCCACTCCTGTCACATTACCTGCCCTCTCCCAGGCTTCGTGTGGAGTTCTTTATGGTCAGTTGACTGAAGAAGAGGAAACTCATGCCTGGTTTACATATGGTTCTGCGCTATATGCAGGCACGACTCAAAAGTGGGCAGCAGCAGCAGTACAGCCTCTTTCTGGGACTTCCCTAAAGGAACAGTAGTGAAGGGAAATCCTCTCAATGGGCAGAACTTTGAGCAGCGCACCTGGTTTTTCACTTTGCTTGGAAGGAGACGTGGCCAGTGTGCAGTTGTATACTGATTCATGGGCTATGGCCAGTAGTTTGGCTGGATGGTCAGGGACTTGAAGGAACATGATTAGACAATTGTGACATGGAGGTATGAGGAAGAGTTATGTGGATAGACTTATCTGAGCGGGCCACAGAAGTGAAGATACTTGCGTCTTATGTGAATTCTCACCAAGGGGTGACCGTAGCAGAGGAGGATTTTAACCATCAAGTGTATAGGATGATGCATTCTGTTTAAATCAGTCATCTTCTTTCTCCAGCCACTCCTGGCATTGCCCAACAGGCTCATGAACAAAGTGGCCATGGTGGCAGGTATGGAGGTTACGCATGGGCTCAGCAACATGAACATCCACTCACCAAGGCTGTCATGGCTACAGCCACTGCTGAGTGCCCAGTCTGCCAACAGCAGGGACCAGGACTGAGTCCTCGATATGGCACCATTCCTTGAAGTGATCAGCCAGCAACCTGGTTACAGGTTGATTACACTGGACCACTCCCGTCATGGAAAGGGCAGCATTTCATTTTCACTGAAATAGACATTTACTCTGGATACAGATTTGCCGTCCCTGCACACCATGCTTCTGCCAAAACTACCATCTGCAGACTTACAGGATGCCTTCTCCACCATCATGGTATCCTACACAGCATTGCCTCAGATCAGGAGACTCACTTCACAGTTAATGAAGTGTGGCAAGGAGCCCATGCTCATGAAATTTGCTGGTCGTACCATATTCCCCATCATCCTGAAATAGCTTCCTTGATAGAACAATGGAATGGCCTTCTAAAGATGCAGTTATAGTGCCAGCTAGGTGGCAGTACTTTGCAGGGTTGGAGAAATGTTCTCCAGGAGGCTGTATATGCTTTAAACCAGCATCCTGTATATGATGCTGTTTCTCCCATAGCCAGGCTTCACCATTCCAGGAATCAAGGGGCGGAAATGAGAGTGGCACCATTCACTATTATGCCTAGTGACCTCCTTGTAAAATTTTTGCTTCCTGTCCCCACGACCATATGCTCTGTGAGTCTAGAGGTCTTAGTTCAAAGGGAGAAATGCTCACACCTGGAGAGACAGCATGGATTCTATTGAACTGGAAGTTAAAAGTGCCACCTGGGCACTTTGGACTCCTAATGCCTCTGCATCAACAGGCAAAGAAGGGAGTTACCATACTGACTGTTGTGATTGATCCTGACTACCAAGGGGAAATAGAATTGCTGTTGCATAATGGAGGCAAAGAAGAGTATGTCTGGAATGCAGGAGATCCCTTAGGGCATCTCTTAGTCTCTCGTGCCCTGTGATTAAAGTCAATGGAAAACTACAGCAACCCAATTCTGACATGCCTACTAATAGCCCAGACCCTTCAAGAATGAAGGCTTGGGTCACCCCACCAGGCAAAGAACCATGACCAGCTGAGGTGCTTGCTGAGGGTAAAGGGAATATGGAATGGGCAGTGGAAGAAGGTAGTTCTAAATACCAGTTACATCCATTTGACCAGTTGCCGAAACGAGGTCTGTAATTGTTATGGGTATTTCTTCCTTGTATGTGTGCATCAAATATTTTTGTTTTCTTCTCTTACAGAATATAAGATGTAAACAGGGCTAGTGACTTTTCAGTTATATGCATGTTAGTTGTATCATGTTAGGTGCAAGTATGACTTTGTAATTGTCTTTATTTAGAGATTGTGTGTGGTCTAAGGAGATGTGTACAGGTGCCAGGTTGACAAGGGGTGGACTGTGATGGTTAAGGCTGTGTGTCAACTTGGCTGGGCCATGAGTTTCAATGGTTTGACATTTATGTAATGATGTTATCCGGCAGTTATGTAATGATGTAATTTGACAGTTATGTAATAATGTAGTCATCCTCTATGATGTGATCTGATGTGATCAGCGAGCCAGTTGTATGGGGAGTTTCCTTGGGTCTGTGGCCTGCATCCAATATATATGGATGTTCTGGCAAAGCTCGCTGGCTTTTTTTCACTCTGAATCTTGCATCTGGCTCATCATCTGACCTCTGGTTCTTGGGACTTGAGCCAGTGGTCTCTGATATTGCCTACTGAACTTGGTATTCATTGGCCTCCACTGCCTGTGAGCCAGAAGCCTGCCTTCTGACCTATCAATCTGGGGTTTATCAGCCCCTATAGCTGTGTCAGTCAGGAGAAGCCTCCAGCCTAACACCTGACCCTCAGACTTGGGACTTACCAGTCTCTACAGCTGTGTGATCCATTTCATTGAGATAAATATATATAGATAGATAGATAGATGCTTCTCTAGAGAACCCAGCCCAAGATAGCCATGGCCAGTATTTTCCCTAGAAGCTAACTAGTGATAGGAAGACTTATCTTTTAGTCCTCTATCTTCTGTGCATTGTACAGTTCTTTCTGGGAAAGCGGTCACTATTACAAAATTTTAGTCTTACCTATCTGAGTGTCCTGTTGTCTCCTTATGTATTGCTTTCCGTTGCTAACTTCCCCTTCCTCCAGTCTCAATTGTTTATGAGATTAAACAGCAGTTGTTAGATCTTAATGTTCCTTTGTCTTGGGATCTTCACTGGCTTATTAAATGAGTACTAAAACTACTTTTTTTCTGATCTACTCACAGACTTGCCTTTTATTATGTTATTATTGTCATGATTATTATTCTTCCAAGTTCAGAGGGCACCTTAAAGTTTCCTCCTCCCTGTTAAGTTACTATAGGCCCAGCAGTCGTGGCTTCTCTCCCTCCTAAGCTAGTACTTGACCTTTCTCCTGTCTTCATGAAAGACCCCTGTATCTCAGTTGGGCCCTCTCTTGTGGACCTTCAGGAACTTTTCTTAATTCGTTTGAGAATACAGGTCTGCCAGAAATAAAGAAAAACAGCATGAGGGTACGTATTATACATAGTGTGGCTTTCCACCTTAAGAAGCAAGTGCATTTGTGTTTTTCCATTCCAAATAAACCCTGTGATTCCCAAAATGCCATGTGAATCAACTGCCACTAATCAACTGCACTTTTTCTCTCGGAAAATCACTTTCTACATTTGATTTGGAAGAGAAGCATGATCAAGTATGGTTAATGTGTTACCAAAAAAAATCTGTTTTCATTACCTATTGTTTTGGCTATTGTTAATTCAGAAAATTAAGCCTTAATTTTTCCAAAGGAAGATCTGTACCTAATTGCTGGACTAAACACCTCTACAAAATAAGATTTTAATCTGTAATGAAAAGAATTAATATTCCTAATTCTGCCTTATGAAGCAAAGTAACAAATTCTGCATGGCAAAATTTTCTTTTGTGAGAGTGTATTCCTATTTTTTTATTGATTAATTTTTTTTTCTACTTTATAGGGAATGACTCTGCATAAAAAGGCGGCTGAAGATAGACTTGCTAGTACAGGTTCAGGGCAGTCGTTTCTGGCTAGGCAAAGACAAGCAACCAGCACGAGAAGGTCTTATCCCGGCCATGTTCAACCAGCCACAGCAAGGTAGAGAAGTCTTGCCGTTAGAAATAAAAAGCAACCTGCATCAAAGCATACTTCTGTTACATATAACAACATTTCAGGAAATTCAGCCAGCTTATTTTTTGTCTCCATTCTATGTTAATATTTAGTTGTTTCTCATTTGAGGACTTTTTCTCTCTCCTGTATCTATAAGGTTTTAGTTTCTCTGTCCTTTATTTTGTAGTCTTTTCAGTTCCTTTTAATGTGCCAAAATTTTTAAATGCCCAATTAAAGGTGTTGTATAATAGTGTAACACTTTTCTTTGTATGAAAATATCCTCTTCCCGAACGATGTAGGCTTTGTAATGAATTAAATTTTCTGCCAATAATTGATACACAATTTATATTGTTTATTGTGCCTCGGTGTTACCATGCTTTATAAGAATGTCTTTGTTTAAAGGGAATTTAATCTTTTTATGATGTATTAATCTGTGTTTTAAATTGTTTTCCAGATGCACTTCAAGTAACTTGCATATTTACTGTATGAAATGATTGGCAAAGTGCACTTTTTGCAAAGACGTAAACATACATTGGCAGAGGCTAGCAAATCTTACGTAAGGCACCTGATAGGATTATTTAGAGGGGAAAAAATGAGTTTCCACATTGTTTTATAGGAAAGTAAATTTGTCCAAAGATTTGGAAACTATTTTTAAAACATAAATGAATAGAATTTCATTATTTCCTGCTATATTGTTTGCTGGCAGAAGTGAATGCATTGGTGAGTTTGTTTGGGGGAAATTATAGCATAGAAGAAAAAAAATCAGGCAGTGCATTAATTTTTTTTCCTTTGCTTTGGAATATCACAGTAACTTAGGATCAAATTCTAACAATGTGTCTGACATTTATAGTTTCATTGCCCTCCATATCTATAAGATTTATTTTTCATATATTTACAATAGGAGCCTTACTTCTTAAGGAATTCCCTTATTAACTTGTGCCTCATTTGTTTTACTTATTCTTTAATATAAACCCTTTCATTTCTAAACAGTTCCTAACATTTAACATCTTAATATCAGTCACTAAGATAAATAAGTGATTTCTTGTATGTGATGTTTTAAGACAGGTCTCTGACATTTTTTCTTAATTCTATCTATTAGTCCTCAAATTTATTACTAAATAGCTTCTCTTGGGTAATTTTGTTGCCTCAAAAGTGCTTGTATTTGTTGACAGGTTATAAGCCACATATATATACCCACTGCCATCGAGTCAATTCCAACTCATAGCAACCCTGTAGGACAGAGTAGAACCGCCGCATAGGGTTTCCAAGGATCAGCTGTGGATTCGAACTGGGGACCTTTTGGTTAGCAGCCAAGCTCTTAACCACTGGGCCACCAGTTAATCTGTCAATTAATGATTGTAAAGCACTTTGAATATGTAAGGTGCTGTATAAATGCAAAATATCATTCATTTGAAAATGAAATGCCTTCTGCCTAATTTTCTATATTGACTTAAGTATTCAGTCCGAAACTATATTAAGTTCCCTTCCAATCATTTTCTTGCACCTAGCCTATTTTGTAAAAGCAAAAAATTCTTGAAATTAGGTTTTTTTTTTTTCAAGCTAGGTCACCTAGTAAGAGGATTTTGTTTTATGCACTATTTGGAAGTTCAGGCTTCCTTTAGTTCTGTATATTAAATGCAAATAAGTAACTTTAAATCAAGCTAAGTGTGATTAAGAGTTTTCAAAAACTATCCAAACATTTGATTTTAAATTTTTATTTTTTTATTAAGAGCAGTTGACCTAAATATTAGTAGTATTTTCATTTTTCCTCCAAAACCATACTTGAAGAAAAAGGTATTAGAAAATATACAGAAATGACTCCATGCACTGTGCTAATTTTTTACATTAAATACAGAAGTCTGAGCACAGTACGGACACTTCTGCCTGATAAGACCATAAACCAGCAAGAATTACTAATACAGAGAGAGCCACATGAGTCGAATGCATTGTGGGGGTTCAGAAGGCCAAGCAAACCTAACCAACATATAAAGTTTTGACAAGAAAAGATTAAAAACTATTAATTTACAATGGTTCTTACCCCCTTTATTTCACAAATAACATAAGAATTTGACTATTTTAAAACAAGTTAGGTCCTGAACACTAACCTTGATCAAATTAAAATTACTGGGAAATTATACCCACAGATTTAAGATGAAGGAAAATAAAAGAGCCTGTGAATTACTTGTTAAATGGATCATATTCCATGAGATAAGAGTTTTTCATTTTACTTCTACTTACTGCTCCTCTCCTAGTCTCTTACCTACTCACACATCTACCCAGATGTATTTCTTCTAATGGGTTGGAAAGGTGCCAAGCTTTTAGAAGGAAATTTTACTTTGGATTTTTCTTCAGCATCTATTGCATGCTATTATCTTGGTTTTTATATTTACAATTTTCACTCTGCTTTACCTTTAAAGCTTAGTATATCATTGCATAGAAGAAATTATATTTCTAAAAATTATTTGATGTTTTAAAAAAAGGGGGCTTTTGTAAGAATAGCATCTGAGTATACTTTATGTGTCATAAAGCCAAGAATAAAACTTAACTGTAAGAGTGACAACCCTGTTTCCCTTGTCCAGCTTTGGACAAGATTTATGATATTTCTGTTTTTCCCATTGTTATTGTGTGCCGTCGAGTTATAGTGACCCTATAGGACAGAGTAGAACTGCCCCACAGGGTTTCCTAGGCTGTAATCTTTCTGAAGCAGGTCACCAGGTCTTTTCTCCCGCAGAGTGGCTGGTGGGTTTGAACTGCCAGCCTTTCAGTTAGCAGGCAAGTACTTCACCATTGTGCCACCAGGGTTCCAATAATGATTACTAATTTCTCAGGAGGTTTGTGACAATGGGTGGACTATGTGGAAGTTAAAAGACATTAGCGCTTTATGTAGATGTGAGCTGTGCCGTGCTATATTTTTATGAGCTCCTCACCTGTATGTGAAGCCACAGTTTGCTTGTGCAGTGGGGCTGCTCATGGCATCAGCAATGAAATAAGTACAGTGTTGCTGCATTAGGCTGGGGCGAGCCATCACCACAGTGTCCAAATCTAACACGCAAAAAGCATTAGCTATTTTCATTCTAACCAGGGTAAGAAAATACAAAGTAAATAACTAAAGAACATTAAAGCATAGCATTTCTGTTCTGCAGTGTATATTTCAGAAGTTTGTAATGGGGGAAAAAAATCCCAGCAAATAAGTAGTATTTGCCTTAAAAGGAGACTAAGTAATACATTTGTACATATTTTAAAAGAACTTCCAAAAACTTGATCATATCTTTTTACTATTTCTAATTACTTGATAATAACAAGAAAAAGAAGTCCCCAAATAAAGGAACTATGTTCCAAAATTTATCAAGATGGAATTATTTCTATTAGATATCCCCCAGCCTAGTAAAATTGGCTTAATGGGATGGTTAGATTATAATAAGGATACTATTGTAGCATGTAATTTTGTTGAGGTCTTATTGTTTTACTTATATAATAAAAGCTCAGTTGTACAAAATTAAGCTAATGTTATCCAGTCAGAAACGTCAGCCTATATATTTCATTAGTCCTTGCAAATGAATGGAAATCCACACTGTGAAAATACATCAGCAGTGATTGTTAAATGAAAGATGAATTAGACTGAAGAAAAGACACATTTTATTTATGAGCTACTTTATTTGCATTTCTTTTCAATAACAGTTTGCTTTATCTTATTAACTAAATAATGAATGAAATATCAGTATCTCAGACAAGCATTCGTCGATTGTTTTAATGATAACACCGTGTTAAAAACTTGAAAATCTTTATTTTAATATAAGGATTATTTTGAAACAAAAATCTAAATTTTTTAAAATTCTCTTTAACTCTCTGCATTTAATATTCAATTGCCCAGATTCAGACTCCAGGAATGTTCAGTTCTCCCCAGTTGAAACATGCAGATTTATCTGAAAAAGCATCCACAACCCACAGCTAGTAGAAATAAACCTAGCTAGTTTACAGCCATGTGGATAAGTACATGTTTGATCCTAAAGTGGCAGGAAAATGCTTGGGATCTTGCTTTTTGCTAAGGACAAAATAACAACATAAAGGCAAAATGCTTTTTGTTGTGTATTCATTGAACTGTGGAAGAATATTTTTACTTTTTCTCCTTACATTATGAAGGGGCTCTTTGCCTAGAAATGGCAATTGAACTGAAGGAGCATATACTTCTTAACAGTAAAGCCTATGTTATATCCTAAAGTAGGATAAGAGAATGTACTGAACAAAATAAAATGGGATATCAGAATCTTTGAAAATTATTTTAGCATATCTTTTATTTTTCCCTTTTTATAAATTAAAAGGATTTTCCATGCAAAAAAGATAATCTCTTTTCCTATAGTCCCGACTGTCAAAATGGTAGCTTATTTTTGTAGTTGTTCAACCCAGTTTCATTACATTTAAAAGGAGGTTTCATAGCTTATTGTTTGTAACTATAGTGATTTGAATATTTTATATCATGAAGGTTTTTATATAAGGAAGGTTATTCTCAATGTATCTGTCATCCAATTTTTTACTTTCTATAAAGCATATTTAAATAATATTGGTGTATGTTCTTTTATTGAAAATTTTGAAGATGTTTTGTTGTTCAATTTCAGCACAAAAATATTCTAAAGCTTTGCAGTGAATGCTGTTCAGTTCTCAAAAGCTTAAAAAACTTAAATAATATGCTAGTGACACAGATAATTTCTACTCTTCCCCATCCCCCAAGGTTATAGAAGTATTAATATTTAGTTTCCTTTTTATAAAATGAAGGACAGCACAAATATGATGGCATCCATCTTTTTTAAATCATTTATTTTGTTCTTGGGAAGTATATACCAGTTCTTTTGTTTTTAAATAGCCTGTTATTAATCTGGTTCACATGTATTATCTTTATGAATATAAAAACTTGTAAAATTTATATTTAATGTTGTCTTGAAACATGAACATCCTCAGATTCTTCACATTACACTGAAATGTTAGGAAGGGACAATATTTGAGAAACAGAGTCTTGGGCCTAATTATGGCAAGTCTATGAGTTTTGGTAATTGTAGGGGATCTATAAATGTTTCCTAACAGTTGCATCTCAGGAATCACTTGATGTCTGTCTTCATTATTTTTCTGTTTTCTTATATTTTCCAACAGTATTCTGTAAGATTACGTTTGTATGCTATAAAGTGAGGCTAGAAATCTAAGAACCTAACAGAAGGTTGTTAAGGAAAATTCATTCCTAGGGAGTAGAATGGATTATCAGGATAAGAAATGGCCTAGTTATAAACACTTACCTAGGCAGATGGAAGGATTAACACAATTAAAACTCACACTTTCTTAACAAGTGTGCCTAAAGGTAATCGTTTATGTAAAGTTTTCTGTTTTTATTGCATAATCAGATAATAAAAAGGAATAGACAAAAATATAATTTATTTTCTAATTGTTCCTTCTTTTAGTGGACATTAGCCAGGCACACAGTATTAACTGCATATGTTTATTAGTGGACGGGGGAGCATCTATTTTCATTTTGAGAACATTAACTAATTACCAAATCTAAAATAGCAATTTTAGGCCCTGAAGGATCCTGTGATGAGATGAGATGAGAAGAAATTTGTGGTAGCTGAAAATCACAGCCAAGTTCCTAACAGTTAACTAAATCTGCCACTTACATCTAGTTTCCAAATCATAGGCTCAGTTTTATGTCCCCCTTAATTACACATAGTAGGCCCACACAAAGTTAGGTTTACAGTGAAGGCAAAAGTAGACATATTTTTAAGTCTTTTGAAGGAGAACTTTTATATACCTGCTACATTACCACCAGACTCTGAATTAAATGCTTATGGTCTGAAGATAAAATCATTAGAGAAGATGTCCACAGCCTCAAAATTTTAGGCTCATGGCACTATCAAATATCCTGAATTATATCTACTTAGAGCTTAAAGGAGGAACTAAATATGAGAAATGCAACCTCAAGTTGAATAAAAGAAAACTGCCAAAGTGCTGAGGCTTTAATATATGTGAGAGACTTCCAAGCAGGGCTTATCACTTTAGGGATCTCAAACTAAATTGATGAAGGAAAATAATTAATTTAGTGATTATATTGTAAAATTAATAAAAGGGACCCTTATGTGTTTATTCTTATGTATTTGTCACCCTATGGGCAGTGATTACATTAGATACATTCTATAGTGTTTATGTGTGTCACTATTAGAGATGAATGTCTTAATATTCACTATTCTAATCATTTGTCTTATTTATACTTTACTGCAAAATTCAAAGCACTTTACTAATATTAAATAATTATTTTCCCTCTCCACCTCTACCTTTCTCTGGCATTTTCTATTAATATCTTTTCCACAGGGAATCTTTATTTTAGGACACTCACTAAGAAAAATTTCAAAGGTTGTCCAAATAAATGGGCTTTGTACTCTTTCTAAATTTTCTGACATCAGAAGTCTGAAGTTCTAAGTCTAGAAACCTATTTGAAGCTAAATTAGGGCTACTAGGCATTGATTGTTTTTTGATGTCACATTAATAAGAATCCTTTGTAATGTAATATTCATGAAGCCAGCTCCTCTCAAAGCCAAACACCCTTGAAACTTTTTGTTTTCTGGAGTTTTATTAATAAAAACTAAACTATCTTCTGGTTAGTCAGAAGATGTTCTTACCGTTGATTTGCCTGTCTCCTAAAATACAAATTTACAAACTGTTCCTAACTTTAATTATTTTTTCATCATTGCGCATACCTGAAAAACAGGAGAAAGAAAGCCAAGTTTCAGGGGCTGTGACACCAGAGAATCTGGAAAATGGTAGGGGACAGGTGATGGAAAAGCAGACACTAACAATGGCAGAATGCTACAAAAACATTCTTCATTCTGGTAAAATACATACGCTTTATGAATGTGACCATTTTCTTAAGTTCATACATAGCAAAGTTTTCAGCCTGTTCTATTAAGGGATTTTTTTAGGGGTCGAGATTCTTCCATTTTGTAACTTGAGTATATTAGTATTCAAATCATTGTCAAAAAGGACTGAAATATTTGTTACATAAACATTGACACACATGATTACTGCCAAAGAATAGATTTGCTTATGCAAACATTCTCTTTGAGTTTTGTTTTTAGATGAGAAAAATGCTTTTATAATGTGAAAAAAACATTACCACCTCTCTATTTTGCTTAGGCAGGTCACCTAGAAGAGAGCAACACTGAAATAGAGAAGTCTAAACTCTGACCTTTAAGGGAAAGAGCAGTTTTCATCTCCCTAAAGTAAAAAAACTAAATATACACGTGTGCACACACATATACACTTAAGGAAAAAATATGTTTTAGATATCTTTCACTAATTAATTGTTGAATGGATGAATGAATTTAAAAGTTCAAAGAAAATTGGGTCTATGCTTTTGAGGTAAGACCCCTTCTAAATGTCTTACTCTTCCATTACCAGTTGCCATCAAGACTACTCTGACTCATGGTGACCCCATGTGTATCAGAGTAGAACTATGCTTCATAGGATTTTCAATGCCTAATTTTTCAGAAGTAGATCGTCAAGCCATTCTTCTGAGGTGCCTGTGGGCGTACTAAACCTCCAACCTTTCAGTTAGCAGCTGAGTGTGTTAACCGTGTGCGCTAGCCGGGGACTCCCAACCTTCCATTAGCTTCCTGTTCTGAACAAGAGTAGATTCCAGTCCTGGGTTGTCCAATTCAATAGCTGCTAGCTACATGTAGCAATTGAAATTTAATTAGAATTAAATCAAATTAAAAATTCAGTTCATCAGTCTCACTAGCCACATTTCTAGTGCTCAATAGCCGTATGTGAATAGTGGTTACCCTACTGGACAGCACAAATACAGAACATTTCCACCATTGAGAAAATGCTATTTGACAGTGCTGTTACGCCCAAAGAGAAAATAAGGAAAAAATAAAGGCAATCTGTTAACTTACAACTCTTAGATTTTACCACCGTAGTTGAAGAAAGCTATTTTTCTTACAGAAATTAATAATAACCCTTTTTAAACATCTTGGGAAAATCAAAACCCCATTCTTTTAAGCTAGTTTGCAATATTTTTTTTAAAACAGGTTCTCAGCACTTTATTTTTCAAGTTATATATTTACATTATTTCATAAATCATTAGTATCTTCAGTTTTTTTAATGTACTCCTATTTTAAGTATTGATGATATATAGTTGTCTAACATTATCAAGCAGGAACTAATGAATGTTTAATTTATTTTCAAATAAAAATTTATCAGCTTCATCATGTTCTTACGTTACATTTAAATCTAATGAAAATTGCCAACAATTTTTTTTTTGCTTCTGTACTTTTAAACGTTTCTCTCTAAAGTCACATTTGACCATCTTCCACCCCGAAGGTACACCAATATCCAAATAATTTTTTTGTTTTTCTTTGTAGCTTCCTGCTTTTATTAACTTGGATTATGAATCAAATTAAACTTCATGTATGCAGTACACATTTACTATTCCAGTGCAGTTAATATTTGCTGTTCCAGTTAATGAAAACATTTAATACATATTAATTTCCTTGGCCTGTTACTTAACTAAAAGGATCTTTGCTGATGTTATCTTTGAATTTTTTAATGAAAATAAGGGATTAATCATAATTCTCTTGAGTCAGCTTGGTGCTTAGTTAAAACTATCCTATTAGGAGGTCTTTTTAAATTGTTTCAGTCAAGCAACCAACTTGATCCAGTAGAGTCAAATTCCAAGCAAGTTATGATGAAATTCTTACTGTAGTTCAAGTATGGACTCGTAAATAGTGTGATCTGAGTTTGTTTTATTATTTCCTTGGTGACCTAATTCAGTGTATGTTCTACAGAGACTCATATTAGTTAAGGGAAATTTTCGGTATGCTTGAAATAAGTAGCATTTTAGTATAAATACAGAAAATGACTGTATACTAACGTCAATCAATGATTTAGGGCCTTTTAGTTTTTTTAATAGTAGTCTTTTTTTGTTTTAGAACAGCCCTAGTTACTTAGTATTCAAATGCACTAAAATGCCATCGCCATCACTAACTTTGCTGTTTACAGGTTCTGTATAGTTCAGAATGCTTTGTACTCAGAAGGATAATTTCCATGTTTATCTTGTTTTACAGTTTTCATGTTTTGACAATTGCCCACCATTTGTAACATCCAATTTTTGGTTGTGTAATGAAATGGTAAAATGCAAACATATCTAATAATTTGCCTTATTTTGATTAATCAAAAATTTGGGGTTAGAAAGCAGATTTTTTTCCCCCTAGAATAGTTTCAAAACTTTTCAGATGAGCTGGAAAACACCTTATGACATTAGAGTCAGAGTTGTATTGATTACAGCACTTGCTCTGAAGCCTTACATTCATGTCTTAAGTATTGTAGATTGCTCTGTGAATTGTTAGTTTAATATCTGACATTGTAGTTATCCACCTTGCATTTTAGCCTTTGCAAAAAAGGATATTGCTAGGTATATTCTTACTCCTGATTGACTATTGAATTTACAATTTCATGATTTCATTCTTTGTAATTATAATTAAAAAGGATGTCCATATCAAAAATTTTCACTCACAAACAGAACCATTACAGATTTAGCAACATTGTACATAATGGAATCCAAGCATTTTCCACCTGTTTGCTGTGTTTACCCGCCATTTGCTATGTGCTGAGATTGGTGGATTTTCTCACTGTTTATCTATGGTGAATGACTTGTTAGAGCACTTCAGTAAGAAATTTTACTAAAATCACAAAATCATAAAGTCCAAGAAACCACCGGAAGATGGATTTTTAATTTTTTGAACTGTTATATTGTATTTCCTTTTGATATCACTTATTCATTTTAATTTTATGACTGCCAACTTGTTATGGTATTAATTATATGTGTTTACATATATGCATATAATATATGTATATGTATATGAAGAATAAAGTTAAGGTTTGGTCAAACTATATTTTCCCATTCAAGTACAAAAATGTTTTCAAGGCTGCAAAAAGTGTACAGTTGTTAAACAAGTTGTAAATAAAGACTTGTATAAAAACTCACCTTAGATTTTTTTTTCTGCTCTTAAACTGTGACAAGCACACATTTAATAACTGTCTAACAGCGTTCATCCACTTGCATTTGGCACTTGTCATAGTGTTCTAGCAATTTAAAGATTATGCCACTGATTTATTATAAATCAGGAATATTCTTTGAGTTTTTTTTTTTCCCCCTCAGTACCTATGATAAATTTTGTATTGATTTAGGTTAGTACTTAATGTTTGTGAGCTGGCTGGCCAAAGTTCTTAGGAATAAATGTTAAATATGACCTACCCGCTCTTAAAGTTATTATGTTCACATGATCAATTTTACCATAAACAGTAAGCACAGCAAGAACCAATGATAGCACAGTTACATTCTTTGGCAACTTAATTTCATAATACAAAGCATTATTGTTGAAGCTTCACATTTGGTGATAACCATTTTCCTGTCTTTGCAGACCCTTACAATTCACCCTTTCCGCACCTCTACCCCAAACATTTTTGAAATATGGTATCTTCAGTATTATGTAAAGTGATAGTAACAGTGTGGAAATTGATTATATTTAGATTAAAATAATCAGCTAGGTAATTCCAAATGAAGTTAGCGCAAAGAAAAACAGCTAGTATGCACACAGCCAAAATAGTGCCCATTATTTTAATCAAACAATTAGTTGACATTTTACTATCAGAAAGATAAATGTTTTCATCCGACCAGTTGGATCAGATTTGGACCCTGGCTGAGAATTTGCATTGTTAAAATGTAGATTCTGATTCAGTATATCTGGGGTGGAAATGCAAATTTTCAGCAGGGAACTTGTTAGAAAATCAAATTCTCAGCAGGGGTTTGAACCTGACTCAACCAATTCAAAGCCCTGCTTTATTCATTAACATGGATGAATTAACACATTAAGTTTAGCATTTATTGTTTGGCCTAGATACTTAATTTTGAGGGGAAGGGGAAGGGAATAAGAAAGTAGGTTGAATCACAAAATTTAAACCAAAAAATGTTTCTGCCTTCAAAGATTTGTATGATCAAATAAAGCACAACACAGAAAAATTGCCAAATAGAAATATCACCCAGCTGAAGGCCCACCAGTTCGCCTTATGTATACTTACGCTACTGTTCTGGTTATCTATTGCTGTGTCATAATTCTCTACAAAACTTAGTGACTTCAAACAACAATATGTTCTCTCTCACAGGGTTCTCTCACAAGCTCAGCTGTTCTCATTTGGGCTTCCTCACTTGATTGCAGTCAGATGGTGGCTGAGGCTAGAGTCATCTGAAGGCTTTTCTTTCACCTGGCTGGCACCCACACTGATATGGCTGGAACACCTGTGGGCTGATCAGGCCACTGTCCACACAACAGGGTAGATGGGCTTATTACATGGCACTAGCTTCCCCAGAGCAAGAGTTCTAAGAGACCCAGGTGAAAGCTTCAAAGCTTATGACCTAGCCTCGGAAGCTACACAGCAGTACTTCTATTCTGTTTGTCAAAACAGTCCCAGGCAAGGCCAGATTCAAGGGACTGAGAATACACTCCATTTTTCGAAGAAGGAGTGACTTCCCCATGCAGGAAGGGAAGGTATTGATGGTGGCAATCTTAAAAACAAGTTACCATAGCTGCCATTATTCTCGATTCAAAAGAAGTGAAATCTCTACTGTGAAGATCATACTTCTGAAGTCACAACCTCTCACCCATTTTCTAACCTCCTTGCCAAGCACATTCATTGCAATGTATGTAACTTCTGTGTGAACAAATCTGGAGATTGATACTTATAGAAGTCCTTGTAGTTCACCCTGGGTGTTCTTTGGTTCCCTGACTTGTAAATGCCCCCTTCCCCTCCCCTTGTTCAACTCTGTCTTATCTGCTCTTTTTATAACTCAGAAGGGATTAGATTTAGAATCCACCCTACTCCGGCATGATCTAATTAACACAGCAAAGACAACTATTTGCAAACAGGATAACATCCACAGGTATAGGAGTTAGGATTCCAACACATATTTTGAGGGGATGCAATTTAATTCCTAACACCAATTCTTCCCTCATTCACAGGGCTCCAGTCATCACATTGTCATCCTTACTGAACCAGCAACGGTCTAAGCATGCATTTCCCTCTTTTGGCTCAAATAGTCCCCAGAGAAGCCTTCCTGACTGTCCTACCTAAAAAGGCACCTGCCAACACGTTTTATCCTTTCAACCTGCTTTATCTTTCTTCATAGCACTTACCTGACTTGATGCAGCTATTACATGATACAGCTATTACCTATCATAATCTTCCTCCCTATGTGTCAACTCCATGACCACAGAGACCGTTTTACTCACTGCTGTGAGCAAGCCGGACACATAATAGGCGGTCAGCAAGTATTTGTTAGTGTTTCTCTTTCCTATAACGTACAGAAAAACGTTTTCCTTTCCTACAACGTATACAGTGTTACCTCTATAATTAGAAATTTAATTTTAAAAGATAAAAAACCCTAGATTACTGAAGTTCTGAGGTATAAATTCTTAGCATCCAAAGGTGGGGGGGAATGTGTGCAAGAACATAAGGCCCTTAAAAGTTCAAGTTGGACAACGCCAAGTTCAAGTTCTCTGGAAATGGAGGAGGGGAAGTCTTGAGCTGTCGGCCATACGTTTGTATGCACTGCACCAGAGACTCCGTCAAAAAGAAGGGCTATCCCCATCTCTCCTATGTGGGGCATCTAACGGCGCTAAAATATTCTGAAGTATGAACTACAAGCACTTGGAAAGGCCCACACGTGGGACGAAGTTTGGGAAGCCTGGAACTAGTCCTCTGTCCCTTGAGGAATTCACGTAAGCAAGCGTGCATCCCTTCCTCCAGGTCACAACTCGGAGGCCCCCAAGGCTCGGCCGCCTGCCCAGGGCTCTCTGGCCCTCATCTCTATGGTAGGAAGCGAGAAAAGCGGAAATGGGACATCGCTGGGGGAAGAGAGTGAAGGGCGGGGCCGTGGAGGGGCGGGGCCTTCCCCGCCACCTCCGCTGCGGACCCAGGCGCGATGGCGGCTACCGAGGGGGTCGGGGAGGGTGCGCAGGACAGCGATCCCGGTCAGCCGGAGCAGCCACCGCCCCAGCCGCATCCACCCCCGCCACAGCAGCAGCAGCAGCAGGAAGAAGAGATGGCGGCCGAGGCCGGAGAAGCGGTGGCGTCGCCAATGGACGACGGGTTTCTGAGCCTGGACTCGCCCACCTATGTCCTGTACAGGTAACGCCCCCGCGGCTTGGCCGCCGCGCCGGAGGCCCTTCCCCCGAGGGCGGGAGCTTAATGCCGGCGGCAGTACCCTGTCCGCGTCCGGGCCTCTTTGTGTGCGACTGAAGTTTCCGCGGTCCCGGTCGGTGTCCGGCTGGCGGGGAGGCGCGTTCGGCTGGGCAGGGGGCCACCCACTGCGCTGCTTCCCAGACTCGGCAGTGTCACCGGGAGACAAGGGAGTGGCTGAAAAACCAGCCATGTCTGTGTGGTTTCTCACGGGGTTGTAAGCAAAGTAGAAACTATAGGACATTGGACAGCACTCTTTCTCAGGCAGTTTAGGTGTCGTGATTCATAAATTTAAGAAATTTCCCGCTCTCTTCCATGCTCCCAGAACTCTCTCCAGATAGTAATCTGACTGAATACAGAAGGGAGGCAATGATTTAAATAGATCAAGATTTGCTCACCTTGCAAACTAGGTGTAAGGTCTTCCCATGGTTTGTTCTGCTGAAGTGGAGAGATCTAGTATAAGATCTCTAAACTGGGACATTTTCATTCAACCAATAATTTAGCGCCTAGTATCAGCAAGGCACTGAATTAGGCTATAAGGATGACAAGATTCTTGTTTATTAAACCCACTTACGTGTCCGTACAGCGCCTTGTGCATAATACAAGTGATGTGTAGTAGACAGTGTTGGGTACTGCTGGAACTTTCTTGCCTTTTCTCACCCTCTTTGCCAACTCCTAACCCCTAATCCATCAGGTTCTTGCTTTCTGATAGTAATGCTGATTCTCTAGTTCCAGTTGAACCTGCAGAGACAATTGAGAAATCCATACATCTTACCTATCTTGTGTAGTTCTAGGTAAACACATTAACCCGTTGCAGTCCAGTCGATGCCGACTCATAGAGACCCTACAGAACAGAGTGGAACTACCCCATAGGGTTTCCAAGGAGCGGCTGGTGGATTTGAACTGCCGATCTTTTGGTTAGCAGCCGAGCTCTTAACCACTGCACGACCAGGGTTCTGGTAAACACATTAGAGACGGCTTATTTGCCTTAATTTTATGAATGAGTGAAAATCACTATCCAGATTTTTTTATTGGAGTTAATGTTATACTGATTTAAATTGGTCGTAGTGACCCCATAAACTCTCAAACCTGTACCATGGAATTGCTAAATATTCAGTTTCTTCACATGACTGTGTCTGATTTCCCAACGCCTGGATGAGGTCTTTATCTTTCCCATGCCACTCTCACAGGCTATAGGTGTCTCACATCTCAGGTAATTATTTCCCATCTTACTCCTTAGTGTTTGCCTCATTCCACTCACCCTGATCCTTTTACATAGTGAGCATAATTTCAGGATTGCCTAGATGCCAGAGAATCTGCTGGTGTTAGTGATCAATATAGAGAAGTAAAAAGTGGGTGGGAGGAAAAGGATTTAAGAAGTCAGAGAGTAGGTAAAACAACTTTGATCACACTGGGCAGTTGAGAGATATCTATAAGCATCTATTGTTGCCGT